AGCCAGTGCGGAGGGGAGCCCCCGCCGGTGGACCCAAGCCCGAGGATGGCGGTCACACACCCCCATAAAAAAGAGAGGCGACGCCCAGGCAGACTAGGGGGGGATTGGGACTGGAATCTGTCTCCACCTTTGGGGTGCCCCGGGGGCCGCTTTCTTTAGACGGAAAAGCTCCTTTCGTCCAAACGGGGAGTCGAGAGGGTTCCCTGGCCCTATTTCCCCCCCCCCCCCCCCCCGCGTGTGCCTTGCCTTAGGTGCACCGCTCTCCGCTCGTGGCGTACGTTGCACTAGGCTCGCAGCACACAGCGGCGCCCCCCCTCTCGCCCGCACACACCACACCACCCACGGGAGTGAACCCACACTGGATTCGGTACTCTGGAGGTATGGTAGTAGCGCTCTCTCGCCCGCACACACACCTGCAGGCGAGGCTGGGCGCGTGATTGGGTTCGTCCCTTCGCTGCCTAGGCCACGCCGCTACACTGTGGGGGGGGTGCCCGAGCATATGGGACAGACACGTTGTTGTCCTATGCGCGGGGCTTCCCGCGGGGACCGAAGACGTACCGCCGCTAGGCACGCCGTGCGTGTGCTTGCTCCGCGTGGTGTCGCCGCCCTCGCCGCCCTACCCGCCCGGCAAAGGGCGCTAGAAGCGGGCAACCACACTGGATTTGGTACTCTGGAGGTATGGTAGTAGCGCGGGCGCTAGAAGCGGGCAACCACACCTCTGCCTCACAGGAGTGAACCCACACTGGATTCGGTACTCTGGAGGTATGGTAGTAGCGGGCAACCTCACCTCTGCCCTTCGCCGCGCGCATATTCAGCCGTGTGTGTGTGTGTGTGTGTGTGTGTGTGTGTGTGTGTGTGTGTGTGTGTGTGTGTGTGTGTGTGTGTGTGTGTGTGTGTGTGTGTGTGTGTGTGTGTGTGTGTGTGTGTGGCTGTGTGTGTGTGTGTGTGTGTGTGTGTGTGTGTGTGTGTGTGTGTGTGTGTGCGCGCCGTGTGTGTGTGTGTGTGTGTGTGTGTGTGTGTGTGTGTGTGTGTGTGCATGTGTGTGTGTGTGTGTGTGTGTGTGTGTGTGGTTTGGGGGGGGAGGGTTGGTGTCTCACCCTGCCCTTGCCCAGCCCTTGCATGCGGAGGAGTCCGCCAGCTCGCCCTTGGGAGAAGTCCGCCAGCTCGCCCGTAGGCTCGCCGAGCCCACTCGGCGCGGCGGCGCTCAGCTCTCTGCGCGCGCTGCTCCGCTGCACCGACCACGGGGGCGCCAACGCCGCCGCGCTGGTGCGGGCGGGCGTCGGCCCAGTCAGGCTCCTCGAGGTGGCCCTCCCGGCGCCGCGCAGACAGGCGGCCCACGACGCGTTGGCTGCTGGCCCGGGGCCGCAGCCGCGCGGCGAGGCGGGCGAGAGGCGGAGGGAGATCGGCGACAAGCTGGCGCGCGGAGGCGGCACGCCTCGCGTCTCCGCCAGAGAGCTCGAGACTGACGTCGTGTGCGACGAGTCGCGTTAGGCGAGGAGGCTCTACGGCGACTCCGGCGCGACGCGAGCGAGTGAGCAGGCTGCGCGGCCTCCCCCCGCGCCGGCGGCGGTGCGCGCGTCCCTCTTGCCGCTGGTCTCGCTCGGAGAGGTCCGGGT